AAGAGGGGAATTCTCCAGTTAAGAGATGCTTTTTGAGCTAAAGATGGTTTTCCTTAAGCTTTCTTTTGCTGGCGTGTATGAAAACGAAAGGTTAAAAAGTAAATCAGCCAGACTTGCTGCCAGGATTATGAACTCTCTGCCAAAAGCATTGCAAAAGGCTGAAGAGTTTCAGCCATGGAGAGCAGATGATGGAGATGCTTTGGCAAAGGTTTTGTCCCACCCACAAACCTGAAATTTGGGGGTCAAAGAGTTGAGAAAGTCCCAGGTATGAGCTGCCAGGAGTCCCAGATGCCCAGCACACATCTCAGACCTCCTGTACGGGCTTGGCACCGTCACTGGAGCCTGGCCGGGAGAAATACCCAGCACTTCTAGTTTGTGTTCAGCACTAACATATTCCTCTTTCCAGTCTGGGAGTCCTGTGAAACAGCAGCAGGTCATGCTCTGTGCACCCAAGCGTTGGAGGGTGGGTACTGTGGGGTGACCACCTTTGTGGGACAGAGGGTTCCCAAAGTACAAACCCAGGCTCTGTGCAGAGTTTTGGGGCAACCAAGGACAAATCTGCCTTTCTCTGCAGCCAGCCCCCTCACAGCGATGGGCTTACAGCAGATGATGTGCAGATACATAAGACAGTCGTGCTCAGACTTAAAACCTGACTAAAATTAGGCTGTTTCTCCCTGGCAGCTAGGGAGGTGTTGGGTGGCTCAAGTCCCTGGCACACAACCTGAGCACATGGCAAGAAGTGACCTGGACTGCAACCTGCACCTTGCAAAGCCTCATCTGAAATGAGTGACAGCTGCCAATCATGATAAAAGCCAATCTCCACAGCTGAAACAGGACTGTGGCTGGCATCTGCCTTGAGAGGTATGTGGAGGCATCTTATCCAGTTTAGCAGTATTTAGTCCTAGTATGAGAATCTGAGGCAGGAACAGGCTGACCAACAGCCCATCATTGCTCCCCTGCTCCTTCCACATGGACTTGTGGGTGTTCAGCAGCTGCTCCCAGTTAGGGCTTGCAAGACTTAGCTTTACTTTTGGGGCAGTTCCAGCTATTTCCGCATGACAGGACAGCTCTGGAGACAGAGCCCACCTCTGGGTCTCAGGGGTCAGCCGCTGAGCCATGGCACCAACTGTGCTGTCCGGTCCAGTAGCTCCACATCTCCCAGCTTGTCAGTGCTGCACAAAAAGCACCCCCCAGCCACATTCTTGTCTTGTTCTCCCACACCATCCTCCTCAGCCACCCCCGTTGATGGGTGCCTGCTCTTTTCACAGCCTTGCCCTTACCTTCTGTTCCCATGAGCCCTGGGCAAGGCAGGACACTGCTTGAACCACAACCCCCAGGGTCCTTCCAGCAAAGCAGCTCCCAGCTCCTGAGCAGGAGCCATCCACCACATCAGGATGCTAAAGCCACCACCGCACTGAGGCCACATGGTCCCCAGGTGCTGCCCGTGTCAAGATGCAGGTGGAGATGGGTTCCCTGGGACAATCCAATCCCAGCTGTCTCCTTTAGGAGCTCTCATGCCCCTGTGGTAGCTCAGGTCATGCTGGACCCTTGTCCTCATGCATGAAGGCCAGATGAGCTCTCCCAGGCTGGTCTCTGCTCTGGAGATGCCACATGGACATGAAGGCACCAGCTTCACCTCCCTCTGGTGTAGCCATCCCCAGTCTCAGATGTCTCTCCAGGAGCTGGGACACACAGAGCAGGGTGACAGCCAGGGCCAGTACTGGCCCTTTGTCAGGATGATGCTGGGTTGGTGTCCAAGTCAGGCTGTGTAGAGGCTCTTTCCCCACCGGCCCTGGGGTTTCAGAGGGGTGTGGGGCTGGGGCACCCACCAGCATCTGCAGCACCAGCATAGGGAAGCCGTGCCGCACCCCCAGCGCATCTGCAGGGCCAAACCTCTGGGCTGTGAGCAAGCCAGGGCACTCCCCTAACACGTTTTTAGCCAAGGAGCTGTAATTGGGTTTGGGAAAGGCCCAGCTGGCAGCGATATCCAACTCACCCACCGCAACAACAAAAATAAACCAAGGTAAGATTTTTATCTTTGCCAGGGCACATTCCAGTGTATAAGAGTCTGTTGGCCCGAGACATGAAGAGCCTCCCTCCCCATGCTGCGGAGCACCAGGGATCCCATGGCTTACACCAGGCAGGGGATGATCATCAGGGTCTGTCCCCTCAAGCCATGTCAGCTGGCAGAGGGTCCAGCAGGATTTCACCGAGGGGGATGCTCCCAGAAGGAGTTTTGTGTGTGCCGTGTCAGCCTGGCCACAGGCTGGTGTGCCAGAACTGCACACTGTGGGGTGTGAGGGCAAACGCCCCAGGAAGTTTCATTGCAGGACTTGGTGGCCCTGGGCACATTGGGCGACTCCTTTGCATGAGGAACGAGTCCCAGGAAGGGATGTGGCTGGTCCTGGCTGCCAGGTAATCCCCACCACCTGCAGCCATGCAGGAAGCCCCCATACCCCCATCAGGGCAGGACCCCGAGTGCCACAGCTCGGCAACGTGCCACCCCTGTGTCCCCAAACGTTACCTGGGAGCTGGCCTTACCTCGGAGGAGCAGAGCTGGGAAACGCCAGCAGCTGGCTCTTCCCCAGGGAAGCTGCAAAATGCTGGAAAAGCTGCTTGCAGGTGAGCTCAGTGGCGTGCTCAGCAGGTGGATGTGGCATCATCCCCCCGTGTCATCACGCCCTGGTGACATGGCTGTTTGCTAGGTTAGGGCTGACAGTCCCAGACAAGCCCCACTGGGGCTCAGCAGCAGGAAACGGCCCCATTCCTCTGCAAAGTGTTGTGGCAAGGCTGAAGGATGCATTCATTTCTTTGATCTTTTTTTTTCTTTTTTTGGTTTGCCCCTTTTTTGGTTTAATTAGCTGGGTGGTTGGGGAGCTGTGGGAGTCCAAAGGCACCGATCAGTCCCCAGGGCAACTCATGGAGTGTCTTCTCCTGACTCAGATGCTTGGCTGCTCTTCCTGCTCCACCATGTCCCCCACCTTCTGTGACGCCAATTCTTCATGCCTGTCAGCAGACACTGGCTGTCCCCCCACACCGCCCCAGACTTACTCCCCTGCTCTCACCCCCATTGCCCCATAGCCCAGCTCTCACCCTCCCCAGACCCACACCAGTGATTCCACGGTTGCTGGTGACACAGTATCTGCAGCTGCAGGTGACACCCATGGCCTGCACACTCCAATCGATGGGGCATGTTGCGTGCACAACTGCAGCACCGGAATACCAAGAGCAGGGATGAACTCACGCTGGTGTGAGGGGAAGTGGACAAGGAGCAGCCAGCCACTCCCCTCCCAGATGACATGTCCTTGGTTTGCTGTAGCTTGGCCTGTGTGAGCAAACAGCTCGCTCCAAGCGGACAGACCAGAGGATTTGGGGACATTACAGCTGCACGCTGGTGACACAGAGCCCTAGAAAAGCACATCTCAAGGTGAAGCAGGAGTGGAGGAGCTCCTGCAAGGCAGGTCCCAGTGCTTGGGACTCAGTGCCACCTGAGGGGGTGCAAGGACCGAGCAAATTAGGTGTGCCTGTGCTGTCCCTTCCAGCACCCAGCCCTGGTGCCAGCCCAGGACAGGCCATCTGGTCCCTGGGGACATCAAGCCAGGACTGGAGCCAGGTGCCATCTGAAGAGAGGCTGGTGGGGAGCAGGTCATACCACACATCATGTAGCCCTAGTATGGCCCAGTCTGTGCCAGATCTGTGTCAGCTTATGGATCCTGCTGGACCAGGCCACTGGTTCTGCCGCTGCTGTTCCATGACAGCCAGGAGGAGCAGGTGGCAGCGTGAAGGGACAACCATCATCTCCTTACGGGAAACATCCTCACAGTTCCCATCTGCTTCCTAGAGAGAGAAGGAGCAGCCACTTGTTTCATTGTCATCAGGGCATCTCACAGGGGAGACCAGACCCACACACACGTTCCTGGTGCTCCTCAGGCCCCTGCTAAGCAACTGAACTGGAGAGCTGCTTATATAGCAGTTCTCTCTCTCAAGACCCTGTCTGCATGAAACAGATCCCAAGAGCAGCAGAGGAGAGAGTATGGTCCCAGGAGGAGCTGGGTACATGGAGCAAAGACAGGGATGGGCCAGGGAGCAGCTGAGGTTGGAGGGGAAGCTCCGGCTAACAGATATTTTGTCAGAGTCAACATGAGAGTACAAAGGTCTGCAAAACACGATGTCAAAAGGAGACCAGTTCTCTGAGCCTGGGCTCCAAAGCGCCACAAGTCATCTCGCAGACGGGCAGATTCACTGTTCTCAACATCCTCGTGGTGAGAGCTGAACACAAGCGATGCCGAGGTGCCTTTGGCTCTGGGAGTTCTCTGTGACATGGGCATTTAGCACACTGATCTGCACTTCCACAGGGAATACTGAATTACTCATGTTTTCTGGGCGTATTCTCAAGAGCTGGGTAAGACACACCCCCCCTTCACAACCAGCGTCAGCTGTGTGCACTCCTGTCCCCATGCCTTGCCCTGCCACCACCCCATCTCAATATTTAGGGAATGGATCTGAAATACAAAGAAAAAAACATTTTTGTTCAAAAATACACACATCTGGCTCAGAGCACGGCTCCCTAAAACCCTGCCAGCACACTAAAGGCATGAAGTGCTCAGGGAAGTGAGAGGACAGATGGAAGTAAATTCGCTTTGCTGCTGAAGCCAGCGCATCATTACAAGCGTGGCCTCAAACAGGGCAGGGCAGGCGAGGCAGCAGCTGCGGCGCTGCTGGTGGGCAGCAGTCTGGGGGGTACAAGGATAACTACAGCAACCAACCAACCTCCAGGTAATTCCTGTTCTCCAGGCAGTTGTTTTAAGTACAAACACTTCCTGGGAAAAAGATTCTTATAAATAAAACTAATCCTTCCATGCATCTTTATTTAAAAATAAAATAACTGGCATATCGAACAGTGCTTGCAGGGCAGGATACTTTAAGACTGACACCAAGAGAGATGACGTCTGAAGCGTGGCGGCGCACGCTAGTGACGCAAACGGAAGCGGAAGCGGCGCGTGGGGCCGGTGCACGGTGGGTGCTTGCGGTGGGGCCGGAGCCGTGGGCTCGGGGCTGTCCCCGTCTCCGAGCCCCCGGCTTCGGCCCCCCAGCCTGTCTTGATCCTGGTGCGTGTCCCAAAGCGCTCCCAAAGGGAAAATCCCCTTTTTCCTCAGGGCAAGGGGCACATCTCCTGATGCTGCACCCCCTCTCCGCAGGGACTGATCTGTAACGGGGCTGTTCCCTCCTTAGCGTTTTCTTTTGTAGTTATTCTGGATTTTTCACCGTGGTGGAGACTTGTGAGGCAGACATACGTTAAAACTGGAAATGGTGAACAGCCCATCCCAGGGGTGATGAGGACAGTTAAAACGAGCCCAAACGTGGATTGTTGTCCCTGGATTTTATGCTCCCCTTCCTTTGTCCTGGCAGCGGGGATAAGGAGCACAGTAGTGTCACTGCTGCTCCTGTGGACGGGGACACTGACGAAGGTGGGGTCACTCCCTCAGCACTACCCAAGGGTGGAAAGAGAGCCTGGGAGCCTTGAATCCTGCTGCTGTCTCCAAACTATTCAGCCGTCCCTGTGCCTGCTGTTTGCAGTGTCAACCCCACAAATGTCACCTGAACCCACAGCCACTGGCACTCCTTCAAAGCCTGGGCGGGTGTCAGTGTGACACCTCTTATGTCCCCTCACCTCCTGGTGATTTCTCTGGTTTTGTCTCTTGCAGATGGTGGAACGGAAACTCCTTGTTCTTTTTGGCAGCCAAACTGGGACAGCTGAAGACACAGCCGAGAGAATTGGCAGAGAAGCCAAGCGACGCCACTTCCAGTGCAGAGTGGAGGCGCTGGACAGCTATGATGTGGTGAGCGGTGACACAGGGGTGCTCCAGGCACTTCTGGTCTTGCTCCATCTCCACCAACCTCATTTCTTAGATGTGGGCATCCTCCACCCTTGCTGTGACCTGCTGTATTTTACCAGACCCTGGCTCTGTGCCCTTCCTGAGGGCAGGTTGTGCTTAACTCAGCTGAAAAGGTGTGAAAACTGAACAATGATTCTTGGAATAGAGCCCATGTTAGATGACAGACACTCAGCCTTACTCTGTAAGGCAAGGAGCACCAAGGAACCAATGCTGCAGGCAGCGTGTGGGCAGCAGATGCTGCTTCAGTGCCTGTAGAGGAGGTCGTGCCACATGGGGCTGCAGGTTTTATTCCCAGTGTGGTCTGTCTGTGAGTGGGCTGTGATGTTAGCGGCCATGTCGGGACAGCTGGGACACGTGTTTGTAGATTGCTGATCTGAATGTGCCTTTCCATGTTTGTGCCCACAGGCCAACCTCATCAATGAGCTGTTGGTGGTATTTGTCTGTGCAACCACTGGCCAGGGTGACCCACCTGACAACATGAAGGTAGGATATGCCTGTCCATGTTGCCTTTATATTCCTGATCCAGTGACTGGATTTCTCTCTTGAAGCAGCTTGAGCAATGGTTATTTTTGGAGGGGGGAGCTCTGGAGCTGCACCAGTCACGTCTCATCTCATGTTACTGATGGGCCAATGGCAGGGAGCTGGTGAGGTTTCAGCAGCTTAGCAGCTGTGAGGCGCCCTGCCGTCGCAACAGCTCTGGGTTTGTTGAGGGCTCTCAGAGCATCCTCAGGATCCATAAGCTGTTTGTGGAGCACTCTCCAGAGCTGTCCTTCTGGCAGGTAGCAGTGGTGGCTACTTTCAGGGGTCACCTCTGCAGAAGGATGGGCTCCTCACTCTCTTGGGACTCAGCGAAGGGCAGGAGGGTCCCCAGGGGTGGGTGAAGCTGGAGCAGGCAGGAAGGGAAGGCCTTCTTGGCATTAGCCTGACTCCCTGACCGTGTCCTTTCTAGATGTTCTGGCGGTTTCTGTTCCGGAAGAACCTGCCACCTGGTTCCCTCTGCCAGCTGGACTACGCCGTGCTGGGCCTTGGCGACTCCTCCTACCCCAAGTAAGCAGCTCTGCAGCTCCTTGCCTGCCCGCAGCAGCTGCTCCTTACAGCTCTGGCTGCCAGCAAGAGCAGCGTGGTTGGGGAACAAAGGGGGTGAGATGAGACAGAGCCTGACTCTAGAGCAGCAGCTCAGGTGAAACATAATTCTCACCAGCCTTAAAAATCCTTGTCCTGCCAGCCCATGTTCCTCCTAACCCCCAGGAACTGGGCTTCTGCCCATTCCTTTCTTCGCAGCCTCCTCAAGCAGATGCAGTATCTGGGACATCATTTCCCAGTCAGTTATTACAGACATGCAGTACTCTGTCTGAATTGCAGGAAGGTCTGTGCCACAACAATTTCAGTGGACCAAGCCAACAGGAGACATGAAACATAAGACTTTTAGGTGGCAGCCAGCCTTGTTGGTCCCAGTTCTCTCCCAAAAGATTGTTCCCCTGTGCCTGAATGAGCTGTAGTGGGAGGGGTGGGAGTGTGCCTGAACTCCGTGAAGCAGTGAGGGGCTAGAGGGGAGAAAGTACTTCTCTGTCCAGGGCACAAGCTGCCATGACAGGAAGCTGGACCTCCCCAAGTCCCTTCTGGGAGCTGGCCACAGCCTGTGTAGCCCAGCAAGTGGCAGCCAGCTGCTTCTCCAAGCTGCCCCAGGGTGGAGGCATCGGCTGGGCAGGGCATGGGGCTGGCTCAGGCTGGACCTGCTGCTGTGCTGCTCCAGCATAGCCCTGGCAACATGTGCTGGCTGGCTCGTGCTGGAGCAGCCCTGCCTTCTGCAGCTGCTGTTATTCTCTGCTCAGGTTTAATTTTGTTGCGAAGAAGCTGCACAAACGGGTGCTACAGCTTGGGGGCAACCCTTTGCTGCCAGTGGCATTGGGAGACGACCAGCATGACTTGGGGTAAGAGGGGTGGGGGGGGTGGAGCCCTGGGGTGCACTACCGTTTTGTCCTTGGGCTGACAGCAGGGCTGTGAGTGTTTCACCCCAGCCTTGGGGACAGCAGTGTGTTGCTCCCACCATGGGCCTGCTCCTGTGCCACAGACATGGCCAGCGGCCTCCTGCTGCTCTCCGTGAACATGCTGGTCTCTGCTCAGAACTCTCCTATGCCAGGAGCTGGGTCATTTGCTTCTCCAGGGTCTCCCACAACCTCCAGCAGGTATCAACATCTCCTGGCTCTGCCCCGGTCCCGTTCAGACCAGAGGACAGCTGTGTGATACAGACGTGTGCCTGCAGGCATTACAGCAGCCCAAGCTGTGCTGCTCTTCTCCTTGCGTGGGGCAGAGGCTGCGTGTGGCTCAGGGAGACAGTGACCATCACCAGTTGTGGCTGGGGGTTGGTGGTTCTGTTCAGACATCAGTGGTTGGGCCCCAGCAAGGGAGTGAGTGCTTAGAGTGGCTGAGACATGTTTCAAGACCTGAAACTGGAAGGGAATGATGTGGAGTGACTGTGCAGTGGAAGAGGAGCAGAGGTGGTTGCCCAGGGGTGGCCCAGTGATGCCCGGATGCAGGGGTAGCAGCACTGGAGCCTGAAGGGATGATGCTGTGCTGCTGCAGCCCAAATTTCCCGCTTGCAGGCCAGATGCAGTGGTCGATCCATGGCTCCTGACCTTATGGGACAAGATCCTTGCCTTGTATCCTCTCCCTCCTGGCCTTGAGATCATCAGTCCAGATGTACGGTGAGTGAAGAGGGTAGACAGGGACTGCTGGAGCTGGCTGGTGTGAATGGCCATTTTCTGAGGTGGAGATATGCCCTGCTTTGACTGGGAAGCCTCCCCACACAGCTTCTGGTGTCCCAATTATCCCTTGGACTTTGGCCATGGGTGACCCATCTCTCTCTGGGTGGAGTGTCCCCTTGTCCCCTGTATGTGTGTGTCAGCCACCCGGGCAGGTTTCTGCCCATCTTTCTGTCCTGATGTGCCTCTGCCCTTTGCAGACCTGCTGAGCATGTGTTCCCAACCAGCCTCCCTCTGCCTGCTCTGGAGCCTTTGGGATCTCCTTCTAGCAGTCTGCATTGTGTTCCCTTACCACAGGGGCAGGGGTGATGGGTGGTGGATACAGTGGGAGAATTCAGACCTCTCCCTGCCTCCAGCCTCTAGTGCTACAGCAGCAGAGGAGCTGTGACACAGAGGTAACCACACTGCATTGCTCTCCTTCCCACAGCCTGCCCCCAAAATACACCCTGAACTACCTGGCTGAGGACTCCCTGCACCCTGATGGTGGCCCGCCCCAGCCAACAGCAGCCAGGGCCGTTCCCTCCGAGCTGCATCCCTTTGCTGCCCAGCTGGTGTCCAATCAGCGGGTCACGGCAGAATCCCATTTCCAGGATGTCCGGCTCATCGAGTTCGATGTCACAGGCTCAGGGATCACGTGAGCATTTTCCTGGCTTCCCCATGTTTTGCTGTGTGGGATCAGGTGTCCTGTAGTTGCATTCCTCTTCCACTCCTCTTCTTCAGTAATACCTGAGGCTGCAGACCTAAGGACATGGTCCCTGCTGTGCTGTCCCCCTCCATGACAAGGTCAGGGGCGTGTGACAGCGTGAGTCCTGCCCGTGGACCAGCTCTCTTTGCCATGTCGTGTCAGAGAGCACAACACTAGTGACACTGGGAACCTGGCTGAGTTGTGGCCTCTTCCCTGGGGCAGGTGCGGGTCGTGCTGGTGGTGCTGTGACCATGGCCCGCCCCGTGGCTGTGCTCGACAAGTCCCGCTGCATCCACAGGTTCAGTGCAGGGGACGTGGTGATGATCCAGCCCCAGAACTGCACCGAAGACGTGCAGCAGTTCTGCCAGCTCCTGCGCCTGGATCCAGACAGACACTTTGTGCTGAAGCCCACGGAGCCTGGTAGGTCCTGCCCACTGGGACGGAGCAGCCCCTGATCTCTGGCCCAGCCTGGAGCTCTGCTTCTCCTTTGCTGTAGAACTGGTAAATTGGGAGTGGCTGATGGGACATCTTGCAGGATGGGGGCTCTCCTTCCTTCCTAGTGTTGTGTGTTTGTGGATCCCACGTTAGAGCCAGTGTGACTTGTGGGGGGAATCCAGCAGTGTCCAGGCTGCACCCATGCCTGGTGACTTTGCAGCCCCCAGCACAGAGCGTGGAGGATTCTGCAGCCCCCTCAGCCCACAACCTGAGTTGGGGAGCCTGTGCTTCTCCCCACTCTGCCTGTGCCTCGGGGACCTACTACAGGTGCTTCTGCAGGCACAAACCAGCACCAACAACTAGAGAAACCCCTTGGAGCCCTTGGTGGGTCTGCAGTCTGCATGGCACTAGGAGAGTTTTCTCTTCTGTCCCCTGAGTGTCCAGTCCCCCTCAATCTTTCATATATCTGTCAGTGCTGGGATTTTTGCCTGGCAGGCAAACCCAAGACAAATTCAGGATGCTCTTCACACCCTTGGGGGAGAAGTAGGAGACAAGGACAGGCCTGACACATATGACACTGCTGGTTACTTCCACTTTATTGTGTGCAGGTAAGGTGGGACCTGTATGGATAAGGTGTCCTAAAGCATTTGCATAAAGGAAGGGACAGCTCAACACCACTGACTCTCTGTTGCAAACCTGTGGGCTTGAAAAGAAAGCTGGGGAGAGCAGGAGGGAGTGGGGGCCCCTGTGGGGAGCAGTGGTGGCAGTAGCTAAAGTTGGCTCCATGTGGGTGCCTACAAGCAGCAGGGCTGCCCTTGTTTGGGTGCCTGGGGAGCGCCAGAGCTGCAGGGCAGCAGGCAGGCGGTGCTGGGCCATTCGGCCCCGGTGCTGGCCCTGAGCACTGCCTGCTGCCTTGCCTTGCAGACACATCCCTCCCTGCCCTCTTGCCGCAGCCCTGCACCATCCGGCACCTGGTCACGCACTACTTGGACATCTCCTGCGTGCCGCGGCGCTCCTTCTTCAAGCTCTTGTCCTACTTCTCTATGAATGAGCTGGAGCGGGAGAAGCTGCAGGAGTTCAGCTCTGCGCAGGGCCAGGAAGAGCTCTACAGCTACTGCAACCGGCCCCGCAGGACCACGCTCGAGGTGAGGCTGGGGGAGCATGACACACCTGCTCTGTGAGGACTGTGCTGTGGCTTAAAGCACCCAGGCAGATGATCAGCCATAATTTCTTGGCTGGGGAATTCAATCTACCTCACCCACTTTCTGAAGTGTCCTTGGATTGCCGCTGGTGGGTAGGACCTGCTCCAAATCCTTCTGGTCCCCCGTGCTGCAGCCTGAGGGTGAGGGGCGGGCAGTGGGACAGGGCAGTTGGTGCTCAGAGGTACTTGGCGTGGTGCCTTTGGTCAAGGGCAGCGTGGCTCAGCAGTGTGGGACAGCCCCATACCCCCAAGGAGCAGGCAGGCTGCCTTCCGGGATGTACCCAGTCTCACTCTGCCTGGGCTTTGCAGGCCCTCTGGGATTTCCCTCACACCACGTGTGCCATTCCACCCGAATACCTGCTGGACCTCATCCCGCGCATCAGACCCCGTGCCTTCTCCATCGCCTCCTCCATGCTGGTAAGAGCTCAGCCCTTTCTGGCTTCCTGTCAGGCTCTGAGCTGAGGGTCTGGCAGGGCCAGGGCTGACTGTTGGTGCCATGTGTGCTGGGCTGTACTCCCAGGCTCTCTGAGCACCCACAGCCCACCCGAGCCCCGGCTCTGCTGCAAGCACGTGGCCAGTGGATGTGCAGGATGTGAATCCCAGGGCTGTGCCAGGCTCCGTGTTAGGGCACTTGCCCTTCTGCAGCCCCGCAGGTGCTGGGGCTGGCCCAGTGCACTGCGGAGGTCTGGTGTCCCTGGTCACGGGGGGCAGTGGGAGGTGGTGGCATGGAAGCTGGGACATCCCTGGGTGGTGCGGCTGTGGGATGGGGGAGTGCTGCTTCCTGCTGCTTCCCGCTGCTGCCGGGAGGTGGCAGTGGGACTTGGCCTGGGTCGCTTGGCAGACGGCAGCCCATACACTGGTGACATTTGTCCTCCATGGGGACCTCTTGGGTTGGACAGTCTTTGTCGCTGCTGCCAGCTGTGCAGAGCAGTCCCACAGGAGCTGGAAAACCCCCTTCCCTACCGGAAAGGTTTTGGGCTCCATTCTGTGTCCAAGTGGCAGTTTCAGGCTAAGAAGTGTTTCAGACGCCCTGGCAGGAGCTGGGCACAGGCTTTGTCCCTAGAGGAGATACTGGACTCTTCCTGCAGAGCTGTGCTGGGTGTCTTCTCATTTCTCATGTCTGGACGCAGGCTCACCCCGACCGCATCCAGATCCTCATGGCAGTAGTGCGGTACAAGACGCGGCTCAGCAAACCCCGCCGTGGTCTCTGCTCTACCTGGTTGGCTTCTCTCAACCCAGAGCAAGGTAACTGCTTGGACTTTGTGAGAACCCTGTGTGCTTACCACAGCCCGCAGAGCTGAGCCCATGGGACTGTGGTGGAGCTGTGTGTGTGCTGGCCACACACTGGAGCTGCTTGGACCCTGGGTGGAGCACACTGGCCTGGCAGGATGAGCTGAACTCCCAGTAGCCGTCCTTCCTCGCTGTTCCCATCTTCTTTGGAGCATGACATGCTCCTCCAGCTTCCCTGAGCTCCTGGTTTTCTCCCAGCTGCTTGACCCTCCTGCTCCCAGTGCCAGCATGCTTTGCTGCCCCACAGTGGGTTGCTCCTGGTGTGCTGGAGCTGGTTGCGTCCTGACTGCTGGACACCTCCAGACACATAGCACCAGCTCTTGGAAGGATGGTCCTTCTATTGAACGCATCCATCCTGTCCTGCGAAGCCCCTGTATGCTGCTCATCTGATCTAACCACAAAACCCCTCCAGCTGGGTCCTCAAGCAAATAGGACAAGATCATGGGGTCTCCTTGCTGCAGGATGGTAGAGAATTGCTCTGTATGACTCCAGGGCAAGACTGGATTTTCTCAGAATACCTGGATAGGGATCTGCTGACTCCCAGAGGAGGCAGGTTTGTCCCTCCCTTACTCAACAGCCAGGTTGAGGTCTCTGCTCGCCTCCGCTGCTGTCTTCCCTGGCACCAGCCGTGTGCTGTGGAGCTCTTGCCTTGCTCCAGGGTTCACTCGGGTGCTTGCAGAGACAGTGCTGAGACAGCTGAAGAGCTTTTCATACACAGATAGTGTGCCCATGGCTCCAGGGGTGCCTTGGTGCCAGGGTGGTGGTAAGCCAGGTGTTCTCCATGTCTTCGGAGCATTCTGGAAGAGCTGGATGCCTGGCTCACCCTCTGCAGGGTGGCATGGGTGTGTTGCTGGTGAGGTGATGCTAGTTGGTCTGATTGTTTTGCAGGTGATGTCCGGGTGCCTCTTTGGGTGAAGAAAGGAGGAATGAAGTTCCCAACTGACCCTGACACCCCTGTGATCATGATTGGCCCTGGCACAGGGGTGGCACCTTTCCGAGCAGCGATACAGGAGCGGGTGGCACAAGGACGTAGAGGTGAAAGACAGTCCTGGGCGGGATTTGGGATGCCCCTTGCTGCAGGCAGGTCTGTGTTCAGTGTACAGGAAGGAGGGTCTGGGGGCTCCTGAGGGTTTGGACAGGCCCAGGCTTTGCTTTGTTTGAGTGGGAGCAAGCTGGGCTCTGGGGCAGGTGAGGACCAGAGCCTGGTGTGTGCAGCCTGTGTGGTTATTCACAGGTTGTGCTGCAAGGCTGCTCCTTGGGTCAGGGTAGGGGCTCTGCAGAGGCTCTTTCTTGGCTCTTTGTGAGTAGAGATGGGTGACTGAGCTCATCTTCTGCTGCACAAGGAGTTTTGCCTCCACCCTTGTCTCATCCTCATTCCCCCCATCTCATCTGTAGGTCTCAGCAGGAATCTGAGGCTGGTGAAGGGGAACGGGCAGCCCTGGGGGGCTCTGCTTGCCCTACCTGCCCCTCACCTCCTGTTTTTTCAGCGCACAGGGGCCTCTGCTTGCCACAGGTCACTTGGCTTCATGCTCACTTGGCTCCTGGCTCTTCTAGGCCAGGGCTGTCAGCCAGGTGCAGCAGAGAGGTGTGAGCCTTGGGGCTCTGCCACAGGTCTCATGGGCACCAACAGTCTCCAGCACTTGCAGGGCGTTTGGTCTGCCCAGCACAGCCCTTGTGGTCTGCTCTCTGCAGGGAACTGCTTGTTCTTTGGCTGCCGCCAGAAATCCAAGGACTTCTACTGCCAAGAAGAGTGGGAATTGCTGGTGACAAAGGGCTTCCTGACACTCTTCACAGCCTTCTCCAGGGACCAGGTCAGTTCCCAGAGGAGGAGGGCGGATACAGAAGCATCTCAGGCAGCACTGATGGGACTCTGCTTGTGTTTCTGACCCCTATAGCTGTTGGTGTGGACTGCGAAGGGCCTGGCGGGGTGGCACAGTGGTCACCTCACTCCCCCACACCACCTCAGTGCTGGATGAGATCCCCACCAGCGCTGCAGTGCCGCTGCCCAGCGGGGATGTGTCCAGCTGAGTTGAACTAGAAACGTTGATGGGATGGGACTGGTGAGCACCAGAACAGAGGTGTTAACCACCTGTTTGGCTGGACCACATGACTGATAAAAGGCTCCCAAGCCTCTCGGGGGGGTCACCAGGCAATAACCTCTCTTGATTGAGTGCCGCCCTCCTTACCATGTCCCTCTGAAGCTGAGGAGCTTGGCCTCTGTGCCAGCTCTGCCCTAGCCTCAGCTGTGCAGGAGAAAGCTCCCTGAAGGTACGAACACCCCCACAACTCAGCCCCTCACTCAGCTCCCTTATTTCCCAGGCAGTGTCTTTTTTTGGACAACTCTAAGCCCTGGTCTGGGCTGCAGGGCTTTTTTTCTTGCCAGGGAGGCTCCATGAGCTGGGACTCTGTTTCACTGCCTTGTCCTGTCCCTTTATGGCACTGAAAGCTCAGCCTCCCTTTGAAACAGAGAGATCTAATAAAAAGGGTCAGTGAGAATGGGTATTTCTAGGTAGCTCGGCTGCACTAGTCCTTTTCTCCTGGCTGTGTGCATGCGTTGACATGAAGCCAGCATCTTTTATCCAGTCACTTGTAAGGCATGAGTTGAATGTCCCTGTGAAGGCTTTCCAAGGCTTTAGTGAACAGGCACAGCACTGCAGAGGTTTGTTGGATGACCAGTCTGCTTTTTTTTCTGGTGGCTCACACAGTGAAGGAGGGATCTGCAGCTCCCCAAATCTGGAGAGTGGCCCCAGAGCCTCCTCCTGCCCTTGCAGACTCTGGAGGGACAAGGCTCACATGGAAGTGTGCCCCTGCCCTCCCTGCTTTCCTTGCTCTGTGAGGCAAAGCAGTTTGTCCTGAGGATCTTTTGCCACCAAATCCTTGCAGTGCTGCATAGGGTGGCAAGTGAGAGCGCAGCCACGTAAGATGAGCCATTGTGTGTAGGAGGTGCCGTTAACTCATCAAAAAGTTTGTTTTCAAAGAGCTTGGCAGGAGCTGGGATGCTCCGTAGCTGAGCAGGATTTCCCTCTTCTCTCCATCAGGTCCTCTTTGCGGTGACCTTCTGTCACATCACGTCTGCCCCGTGGTGCAGACTGATTGATCCCAGCCTAATGCGGCTGTCGCTAATTCTCAGCAGGATTCCCTGGGGTTTAGCTGAGATGTGGTGACCTGAGTTTGTCACTGGGGTGCTCTGGTTTCTAGGTAGCTGCAGGTCCTTAAATGACCTGCTTGGAGTCGGCAGAGCCTCTGTCAGCACTTAGATGATTAATGTTAATGATGCTGAAGCTGAGCTGTGTGGGTGCTTGCGACAGGCTCACCTCCCTGCTGCATCGCCGGCGGCCAGGTCAGAGCAACAGAGCTATGCCTGGGGGGGACCTAACTCTCCAGTGCCACGCAGCCAGTGTCACCGCCTGGGACCTGCTGACCGGGTGGTGACCAGCTCTTGAGACAGCCAGGGCTGGTCACTGCTCAGTGTTGTTCCCACGCACACCTCCGGGCTGCAGCATGCAGGGAGCCTGAGATGCAGCCAGAGCCTTGTTGCCTTTGGGGCTGGACAGGAGGGAGGAGGCTTCGCCTGTGGCTCAGCTCGGTGCGGTGAAGAGCGCGGTGTGGTGGGACGTGCAGCAGAGGGCCTGGCCTCCATCACAGTGTCACCTTTGTCATGGAGGAGCCGTCTGGGCCAGCAGTGAACTCAGGCACGTTGGCAATGGTGTTCCACTTGGGCAGAAGCCAGGGCTGTAGGCAGTTGCTTGGATGTGTGAAGTCTTGTGGATTAACCCTTTGAGGACTCTGATCAGTTGGGCTATACTGTGCCAAAAGCCAGTTGTATCCAGTCCCTGAGCACAGTAGAGGGGCAGGGAGTGGGACCAGGGCCATCGTGCCAAGCTCTCTGCCCTTCCAAGCTGTTTCGGGTCTCCAGCAGGTGACAGGGGTGTGGGGAAGGGTCTTGGCATGATGGGGGCCACAGACCCTCCTCTGTCCATGCTGAGAGAGGAGAGGGCAGGAAGGGAGCCCTCACAACGACTCCCCAGCTCGTGGCCCTGGCTGTTCACCAGAGGTGGAGCAGGCAGGGAGCAGCCAGAGGACTGGGGGGAGCTACTTCCCCGCTGAAGCTCCTGCTGCTGCACCCGTCTACCACCAATGAGATGTGGGGATCCCCTTCCCTGTGCCATAGTTGATCCAACTGCTTCTCCCAGTGCCCCCTGCTCTGGGGGGCAGCACTGCCCTGAGCTCAGGCAAACACTCCCTGAGAGCAGTGCCCAGGGGCTGGGCAGGCATGCTGGGGCTGGGGCTGCTCCCAGGGCTGGTGGCTCATCACCGTGTTTCCCTGCAGGAGGAGAAGGTTTATGTTCAGCACCGCATCCAGGAGAACCGAAGGCTGGTGTGGGAGCTGCTGAGCAGCAGGAACGCTCATGTCTACCTGGCTGGGTGAGTGAGAGGTCTCTGTGCAGGGACTAGGGGAGTGGGGCTGCACCTCGCTGGTTCTCCACCTCCCTAGAGGCATTCCCTCAGCTCAGCCCCGGAGTGAGCACCCCAGCAGGTCCTTAGGGGCTGCAGTGATTGCTGCAGAGGCACCAGCTCATTCCTTCTCTCCTGTTCTACGAGCCCTGGGCTGAGGGCCATTTCTCACCTACCCTCTGCTCCAGTTAGCAGGGGCAGAGCTGGAACCATGGCAGAGCTGCTCCAGCTGTCCCCGTGTGCCCATCCCTCCCAACTACCAGCACCCGTGACTAGCATCATCTGCCAGCGGGCTGACAGGCCTCTGACCCACAGCGAATCCGTATACAGGAGAGACCTGGCCTCTTCCCACCCTTCTCCTCCAGCAGGGCTCTGTGAAACTGGCGAAGTGGGCTTGTGCAGTTCCTATGGCTTCTCTGGTGGGCAGGAGGCTTTTAAAGCACATAGCAGAGGGCCACCAGTGCTGGGGCTTGTGAGCAACAGTTTTTGGGACCCGTGGGGCATCTTGGCTGGCTCTTTGATCCAAAACTGCCTTTCCAAGGTAGGGACGAGCTGTGTTGCACCGCAGCCTTTGCGTCCTTTGGCAGCACAGTTGTTCACCCAGTGGTTACCTTGGGCTGGTTGGAAATGTTGAACTGTTGGCCAAAAAGTGGAGTCCGGCCTTTGGAGGCAGAGCATCTGTGGCTCTTTTCCTGGGCAGAGCCCTTAACCTGCCTGCCCTAGTTGCTGTCTGTGTGACAGGGAGGAGGCTGCTCACCCACTGCCCAGGGCAAGTGTTGTGAAATGCTTTGGGCTCCTTGAGCTGGCGAGAGGCTGGCGACGGTGGTGTCGTGCACCCTGTGACCTGGAAAGCACTGTGCAAACCTGTGCCTTGCTGTCAACATGACTGACAATTGTAGGAGGCTCTTTCCTGCCTGTCCCGCACGAGAGCAGAGTTTTCCCTGGTGCCTTGCAGGGCGAGACTGGTCTTGCTGCATTCCTGGGAGAAGGAGATTTTTGTTTACTGCTGATGAAGCAGAGGCCAGGCCGCCCACTGGCCCTCGCTTGCTGCTGCACCAGCGCTGCCACGTGGTCTGGCATGCCTCACTGCATGGCAGGGCTCCCTGAGGGCCTTACCCCAACCTGGTGATCTCTACCCACGGATCTGGGCTTCAGGTTTGGTTTTCTCCCTCAAGCTGTACTTGGGGTTGTGCCTCTGTCCACAGCTGTTGAGTGACCACTGGGTATAGTGTCTTGATGGCCCTGTCCTCTCCTTCTGCCGTCCTCTTTTCTGCTTTCTGGTGCTGATGGAGACACCCTGGTGGATGCCAAAAAAGGATTAATGTCTTATAAAGAGCAGGGCTTGCACAGCTCTCCCCATTGCAGGATTTTGCAGTGGTCATGAGAATGGCATTTTGGACATCAGGGTTGCTCTGAGACCCATCTTGCTGAGCTCTTTGTTCCTGGCACAGGGTGGCCCTCAGCCCCAGTCAGGCAAGTAGGATCCAAGAGCCTGGTTCTCCTTGTCCAAGTGGCAACTTGCCATGTTTGCAGTGGGCACTTCCCCAGCCCTCCTCAACAGCTCACATGGTGTGTAAAGGTGCCTGGATTCACAGTGCCCCTCCCTGGCCCGCAGACTCTGAACTGCCAGTGGGTTGCCAAACAGGAGGGTGCAGGTGGGCTGGCCTGAAAATGGCCTTTCCCCCCCCCGCCACCCAAAAAATAGTATCCACGGTTTCAGCCACACTAGGAGAAAGATGGGAAAAGTGAATCCTGAGCTGCATGTCCCTGAGCAGCAGCCCTGGGCCACGTAGCACAGTGTCTGCCTTCCTGCACCCGTGCTGGCTGGGGCAGGGTCTGCAGAGCCAGGGATGGATCTTTTCTATGATTGTGCCCAGCTTATCTTGCCCAGAGGCAAAAAGGTTGAAAATGTCTGTCTCTTTCTGAAAAAAATAGATATTTGACATTTCTATCACAAGCCCAGCTACATTATCTTGTACTTGCATATCAGTGCCTGACTCAGAAACAATACGACTCTTCCAAAAAAAGAAGACCTCCTTTCTGTGTATTTTGGGACATTAATCAGCTTCAAATGCAAGTCAGAATTCTGCCTTGTTCTTGGGAAACAGCAAGGACGTTGCCAGATGCTTGTGCCAATTGGAGCAGCCTGGGAAATTTTATTAGATGGTTTTTTGCCACACAGTGAGTTTATCAAATGAAACTCTAGGAAGAAGCCTGAGTTTCTTATTTACCATAAGAAATAATTATGCTTGGAAGTGTTAAAACCTGTTTGGTTCTTTTCTACATGGGAGCTTGTGTTTTCTTCACAGTTTCTTATTTTGAGGTCTGAACTGGCTTTGGGTTACAAATGTCACCATCAAAACAATCATTTCAGGAGGCAGTGGAGGGACTGAAACAGCTGCTCCTTCACAGCAGTCATCTTACCCAGCTCAGGATCAGACACGTTTTACACTGAATGTTTCCCGAGATGAAAGGAAGTTTCTTGCCTCCTGCCAATAAATTATGACTCGTGCATATTCCCCATGTCCCTCTAATGAGGGTGATGGGAAGTGGAGCAATATGGAGTTAAGGCTACCAAGCTGTGATGCTCCTTCACCAGGGACTGGGTACTGCAGCTACCTCTTCGCCTGCAAATGCCAGAGCCCGGGAGCCCTGTGTGGATAACAGCCCACTGTCCTGGGAGCGGTATGAGCTGCCTCCCAAAGCCTGTCATTTATTCAGTGCCAGGCAGCCCATGTTGTGGGGTGAGGCAGGTTCCCCCCAGCCTGCGCTGTGTGCCGGGGTCGGTGGGTTTGGCCGCAGGGACTGCTGCCCCCTCCACGGACTGCCTTGCCCAGAGCACTGGGGCTGCAGATATGCCCCCCGTTTCCCTTCTCGCCCTGCCATCACACCACCTACTCTCTCTTCCAGGAATGCCAAGCAGATGCCAGCGGCGGTGGCTGAAGCCCTGCAGTTGGTGTTGCAGCTGGAAGGTGGCCTGTCACCCTCCGAAGCAGAGGAGCATTTAACAGCCCTGGAACGGTCCCAGCGCTTCCAGTCTGAAACCTGGTCGTAAGCCTGGCTCCCTGCCTCCCCCTTCCTTGCAAACTGCCTGAATAAAGGAGTCAGCAGAATGATCTGCCCCGGCATCATCCTTGGGCTGAGATTACCCCAGCAAGGACAGGGGCTTGGTGAAAGGGGTGGATTTACCCAACCACCCCTTCCCTGATGGCAGCAGGGCCATGGTGGGCAGGGGGAGCCCATCTCCTGGGTGTGGGCAGTTGGTGTGTGTGAAGCCTGGCTCCCCATGCCCGCACCCCACTGCAGCAGAGGCGAGAAGTCTCTGGTGGGGTGCTGCTGGCTGGCTCCTGCACGGAACTGAGTGGCCACCCCATGTGCTCCAGCTCCTGGGGTCCCTGTGCTGGGTGAGCAGCACCTGCGGGCATTGCCAGAGCACCAGTGTTGGCAGCGGCCGTTGTTTGTGGTAGGACCTAAAGGAAGTGAGCTGTTGCATGGGAGTCTCTCCACCCTGGCATTAGTCAGCAGCAGCAGTGCTTGCTGCAGGAGGCTGCCTTGACAGACCTGTTTCCCCTGTCTCCAGGAGCTGGGGCCAGCAGGGATGGGTGCAGGAGGAAGCTTCGATCCCTCTGTCTGATGCCAGTTCATCTTCCTGACCCTGCTTGATGACGAGCTCTGAGCTCCCTGAGCGCCGGATCCCACTGAGTTATCCCATTCCCTTAGTGCCTGCTCTGCTGGATCTGTCCTCCAGCCCATCCTGGGAGCTGCTTCCAGCCTGGGCCAGGCGAGGCAGCATCCTCCAGCCCCTGGCAGCCCCTTGTGCCCTCCTGACCCTGTCAGTGCCCCAGTGGGACCAGTGCCACCACCTTCCTCCCCCAGTTTGGCGAACTCGGTGCCACCACGTAAACAGCGATTAGGGCCCAGGTCATGAATCAGCCAGGGACAGTCCCTGGGAGCAGGCTGGGACAGGAAGGGACAGAGGTGCCACACCACACCTGTGACCCAGCCACCCTTCCACGTGCCCAAGTGTGGGGTCCTGCATGGGTGAGTGGCACCTGGGGGCATCGCTCGAGCTGGAAAATGGGAACTTTTGGGGTCTCCCCCCTCCAGCTGCTTTGCCAGGGCTGCCTTGATGTGAGGATCTGTTGCACTTGTAGGCCCTGGCTGGGCTGGGTGTCACCATACCCTGGGGACAGCTGGGGGCCAGTGAGAGCTGCTGTATGGCACTCATCATGCTGGTGACACCATCACCTTGCATGGGGCATTGTTCTTCCTGCCAAGCCCTGAAAGCTGCTTATGGAGCACGGTGAGGCAAGGTGACTGGGGACAGAGACCCACCTGGGGGACAGGGATGAGCTGGGTGGGGGGTTTGCCCTGAGGCAGTGCAGGATCCATGCTGATGTGCTATACTGGTGTCTGAGCTGGGTGCTGGACTGGGGCAGCGCAGGGCCAGTGCTGCCGTGCCCCATGGGCAGTGGTGTGGGGAGTGCTGGCCGCAGAGGTGGCTCCATTTTTGCTGGGTGAGGAGAAGAGGCGGCCGTGGGCCCGGCTCCGCCCCGGCTCCTGCCAGAGCTGATTGGCGCGGGCATGGCTGCCTGCCCTGGGCTGCCTGCATTTGAGCGGCTTCCAGAAGCTGACAAACCAGACTGGTTAGAGCCAAGCTCGGCCCCAGCCCTGCTTGGCCCAGGGCAGGCAGCAGCTGCGTGCACGGGTGCCTGCCACGCCTGCACCCTTTGCCGGCACAACGGGCAGTGCCTGATAGCGCCCAACTTGTTGCCCTCTCCTGTGGAACGTGGTGGGTCAGTACTGCATCGACACTGGCGAGGAGGAAGAGGAGGAGGAGGAGGAAGTGGCTGCTGGACGCTCACAGCAATGCCCCTCTTGGGGTGGCCTATCGGTGAGGGTGATGGGGATTCACCCCGCTTTGGGGGCTCCTGACCTGTCAGCTTGGGAGGGGGTCCCAAACCATGCCGGAGGGATGATGGGACTCTGTGGATGCTGCTGCCTTTAAACCCTTCTGGCAGCTGTGCTGAAGGCCACCCCCTTCCCTGGAGCAGCACCCACGTCCCACACCTTGCCCCGAGGGGACTCAGGGGGTGGTGGGTGAGGGGGGCCGCTGTGAAGCACACACCCCCATGGAGCCAGCAGCAGGCGAGGGGGCAGAGCCTGGCCCCCAGCTGGTGCTGGCAGCTGGTGGGGAGGGCTGTGCCAGGCAGCAGAGCGAGAGTGAGACTGTGGGGTTGGGGGGCCCTGGGGAACCCCCCCAGCTCCATGGAGAGGTGCCTGCCGCTGCCTGGGGGTGCTGGAACCCGCCACCGGCCGAGGACGCAACAGAGCTGCTCCTGCCCAGGCATGACAAGCCGCCTGCCCACGGTGCCTCCCTGCCCGCGGGGCAGGACCCTCCCGCTGCCACCAGCCCCGTCTTGCCCTGCGGAGAGAGCCCAGCGCTGCAGCAAGGGTTGTCCAGCCTGGAAAGCGCCTCCAGCTCCATCCTGAGCCTCTCTGGTGAGGAACAGGAGACGTCAAGCGATGAGGTGGCAGCGGCAGCAGAGCCGTCCCGCATGCCGGTGGGCAGCGAGGACGAGTGCCCCATCTGCACAGAGCCCTACGATGACCAGCGGCACAAACCGGCCCTGCTCAACTGCAACCACGGGCTGTGCCGCGCCTGCCTGCGTGCCATCATGGACACGGCCGCCGGTGCCGAGTTCGGCCGCGTGCGCTGCCCCATCTGCCGCCAGAAGACGCCCATGCTGGAGTGGGAGATCTGCAAGCTGCAAGAGGAGCTGCTTCTCCTGCATGCCCAGCCTGGCTCCCCTGGCACACTGGCCACCCCCTTCCCTGGAGCAGCACCCACGTCCCACACCTTGCCCCGAGGGGACTCAGGGGGTGGTGGGTGAGGGGGGCCGCTGTGAAGCACACACCCCCATGGAGCCAGCAGCAGGCGAGGGGGCAGAGCCTGGCCCCCAGCTGGTGCTGGCAGCTGGTGGGGAGGGCTGTGCCAGGCAGCAGAGCGAGAGTGAGACTGTGGGGTTGGGGGGCCCTGGGGAACCCCCCCAGCTCCATGGAGAGGTGCCTGCCGCTGCCTGGGGGTGCTGGAACCCGCCACCGGCCGAGGACGCAACAGAGCTGCTCCTGCCCAGGCATGACAAGCCGCCTGCCCACGGTGCCTCCCTGCCCGCGGGGCAGGACCCTCCCGCTGCCACCAGCCCCGTCTTGCCCTGCGGAGAGAGCCCAGCGCTGCAGCAAGGGTTGTCCAGCCTGGAAAGCGCCTCCAGCTCCATCCTGAGCCTCTCTGGTGAGGAACAGGAGATGTCAAGCGATGAGGTGGCAGCGGCAGCAGAGCCGTCCCGCATGCCGGTGGGCAGCGAGGACGAGTGCCCCATCTGCACAGAGCCCTACGATGACCAGCGGCACAAACCGGCCCTGCTCAACTGCAACCACGGGCTGTGCCGCGCCTGCCTGCGTGCCATCATGGACACGGCCGCCGGTGCCGAGTTCGGCCGCGTGCGCTGCCCCATCTGCCGCCAGAAGACGCCCATGCTGGAGTGGGAGATCTGCAAGCTGCAAGAGGAGCTGCTTCTCCTGCATGCCCAGCCTGGCTCCCCTGGCACACTGGCCACCCCCCGGCCCCCCGTCCTGCCACCCCGGCGCCCGGGCCTGGCCGGTGCCCTCGAGCATCGCTTCCAGGTGCGCTTCCACACCAGCCGCATGTTCGGGTGCCTGCCCTGCATCCGCTACCCGCCCTGCCTCATCCGCGGGCTGGGGCAGCTGGAGCGCCGCTGCCGCTGCTGCTACCTCCTTGTACTGGCGCTGCTGCTAGCGGCCGAGATGCTCAGCCTGCTCCTCATCTTCCTCCCCATTGTCCTGATGGTGCTGCTTTTCCTCATCCTTGATAAATAGTACGGGGTTTGTGCCTTCAGGTTGGGCAATGCCTGGGGAGAGGAGCGCTGCTCCAGCTTTGCTCCTGGGGCTGCTGCCGGCTTGTGATGCCAACCTGGGGCCCAGGTGCCTGGGATACCCCGGCGCTGCCAGTGAGCCCAGAGTGGTTGAGGCAGCAGAGGAGCTGGAGAAGGCAGCCAAGAGAAGAGCTGGGCATTGCCTGCATCTCACGGGGCACTGGGTGACACATCACTGCAGCAGCGAAGGGGTGGATGGAGCAGGAACCCATCCCGCACTGGGGACATGTCCCTGGCACGGGGCTGGGAACCGGAGGGGCTCTGCGGGCAGAGCAGGGCTGTGCCATGGGCTGTGCTTCCTGCGCGCAGGACAGACGGACAGGGGTTCCCCAGCATGGACTGAAAATACAACTTGCATTTGTACCACAGCTGTGTCTAGCTGAGTTCAGTGCTTGTTCCAGGCTGAGCATGTCCCCTTGGGGCCCAGCTGTGACACGAGGAGGGGACGGGGACAGCCAGTGATCCCCAGGCACCTTGTGACAGGGTGCCTGCCCCCACCGCGGCACCTCCCAGCTCTGGCCAAGCAGTGCCAGCCCGCGCTCTGAGTGGAGATAAGAGAGCAAACACGGCTCTGTCCCCTGCGGCTCTGCACTGGCAGCCAGCTCCAGCTGGGCACCACGGGTGGAGGAGTCCACAGTGAGTGTAGCACCAGGTCTGTGCCCAGGTGGGACCTGCCCTCAGGTGCCAAGGGAGCTGGGCCGTCTGGAGTGGGCAGGAATATCTTGGTGGTGAGCAGGAGGTGGGTTCTGCAAGAAGCATTTGGCATCCGGCCTCGTGCGGGGGCTGTGTCCCAGCCAGGCCATGGCGCAGCTCCTCTGCACCCCTGCTCCCCACACACTGCAGGGCACGGGGCTGGCAGCCTGTACCCTGAGGGGAAGGGGATGGCTCCAGGCTTTCAGCCACCTTTGGGCTGCTGGTGGGTGGTGGTGGGGTGTCAGACCCCATGATCCTTCCAAGATCCCACTGCAGGGGTCAGCATCTTGTGGTGCTGGCACCCATCTTCACAGCCTGGGATGTGCTGCTCCTTATTTATCACTGCCAGACTCCTCTTGGTGCTCTGCCAAAGCTCCACGCAGACCCCATGCCAACTGGGGGTGCAGTCACCCCCACCCTGCCTGTCCCTGCTGAGGGGCTGGCTGACACTGCCATGCCCTGTCCCTCCAGCCATGCCAGGGTTGTGCAACCAGCTGCATGTCCTGACTTTGCCCTTCTCCCCTGGAAATGTGCCACGGGCACCTCCCCAGGGCTGTGCCTGTGGGGGACCACAGGGTACCACCACCACCCCTTTCCCCTTCCTCCTGCAAAGGGACTCAAGTTGGTGGGGAGCAAGGAAATGCTCCCTGCCTGCGCAGCCCCGGGGGAAACCTGTGCCCTTGTGCCCACAAGGGCAGAGATTTGGGATTTGCCGGGGCACTCGGAATACTCTCAGCATCGGCTCTGCTGTGTGTTGCTCCAGCAAAGTGCTAAGGCACAGGAGGCAGCAGGAGGAACAGGGCACCCCAAAACAGGTCAGGCTGGGAGGCAGAGGCATGCAGGTTCCCCCTGGCCTCATTGCATGGAGGAATATTTATTTATACCAAGTGGAGCAGCTCCATTAGGAGAAGCGCCAGCAGCTCGGCCCTGGCCAAGGGCACTTTTGGCTAGATGGGGCCTGCGGGAAGGGGGACACTGAGACACCCGGGGGGACCATGCCACCGTGCAAGAGGCCTGGCACGTGTCCCTGCTCTACATTTCATGGGGGGTGTAACAGGCTTTTGGGCAAACGAGGCCAAAGCTGTCCCCACGGGGACACAGGGGAGCACGATTCACCCTCCAGTACATCTGCGCTCCCCTCACTGGGCTGCTGGCACCTGTGGGTGCTGAAAGCTGGAGAAGGGCACCTAAATCCCCCCATTATGGGGTCCCGGGGGGGGGCTGCGGTGGGGGCCCAACCCCATGGGCAATGCAGAGCCTAGCAGAGCTGCCAGCGGTGTGCATGGGCTGGCCCACGGGAGCCCGGCTGCAGTGCCTGCTCCCAAGGACTTGGTTATATTTAGTGTGTGGAGATAGCGGTGAACGGCACAGCAGGTGTGCAGCACCGCAGCGAGCTGGGGCCGGGGGCTGAGAGCCATGGGAGGCTGCAGTGGGGCTCTGGCTGCCACGCACCATCCCCTAGCACAGCCCCACCAAAGCCCCGCACACAACCCCACCATACATCCTCTGATCCCTCATGGTCCCCTTGCACCCCACTAAGTACCACACTCACCCCTGCAGCCATACACAGCCTGTGTCTTCGTGCACACCCCCCTGCAGCCCTCAGCACCCTCCTACAATCCCCCCCAGTCACTCCATGCACCCCAGTCTCATCACACACACCCCCCATGCAGCCCTCATCCACTTTCTCACCAGTCCCCCAGCTCTCCTTTGCCCCTCATTGCCCCACTGTGGCCCCCTGAGTCCTCTTTCCCCCACCATGGACTCCAGCACCAAATCCATCCCATCTCCTCCCACCCCTCTGTCCCCTCCCACAAGCCCCAGTCACCCCATCGTACCCCAAATGCTTCATCACATCTCCCAGCTGCTGGCACCCTGCAGGGACCTGCCCACTCGGGGCTCTGCAGGGCTGTATCTCTTCTCCCACTTAAGCCCAGCATGTCCTCACCCGGGTCCCCAGCCGTGCCCATGTGGCCATGAGGACATGGGCAGCACAGTCAGCCTCAGGCATGCACCAAGCGTACCTGGTCTCACTCACCCAGGCAGGCGAGGCTTGGGGGTCAGGGGTCAAGGGTTGGGGTGTCAGGGGCCTCATCCAGCTCTGGTCAGAGGCACCCACACCCCTTTTGCATCACAACCAGCTGCAGCATCTCCCCTTCCCCGCTCAGCCCCCCTGCTGCGGACATGCCACCACCGAACCCCATCCTGCACCCGTGAGAGCAAGGCTGGAGGAACAGTGGCCTGGGGAATGGCCTCAAAGTGGTGATGAAATGGGAGCAACTCTTGTGCCAGAATCTGGCCCTCAACGTGGAGCTGGGGAGGGAGCAGGAGCGGGTGCCCATGCCTGCAGGCAGCCCTCACCTGGATTTAACCCCAGGAAAGCTCCCAAGCCCGTCAGTCCCTCCTGATACATGGGACCAGCGCTGCCCCAGGGACCTGTCACAGCCTCTCCGGCTCTGTGCCACAACCCATTATCTTCTCATCGCAGGGTTGCACCTTGTTGTGAAAGCTGGGCACTAACAGAAGCTGTTGCAAGCAGCTTCCTCTTTGTTGAAATAGCCATTTTGGGTGTATGACTGCCCTGGATTGAGGTTTCAAGGCTGTCTGTCCCCAAGGAGGGCACAGCCCCAATGCTCAGCCTCCTCTTTCCCAGTCTGGTGTGGTGCTACCAAATAATCCAGCTCAGCCTTCGGCCTCTCTGCTGGGGCCAGACCCTCCCCCCTCTCTGCACCAAAAGGGAACTGGTCCTGTTGTGCAACCTCCCGGCAGGGTGGCAGGGTAGGATGGGTCCCCACACGCATGGGAACCGGCCTGGCGCTGCCTGAGGCTGCCCACCCATCACCAGACAGAGTGCAGAGATGCCTCCAGCCTGGCGCAACCCCTGGCATTGACTGACCAAGCTGCAGGAGTCAGTTTTGGGGCTGGGAAACATCATCCCCTGAACCCGTGCCAAAGGCTGACCCCAAACCAGCAGAGAGCTGGTTCCTGGCCCTTCCCACATAATGAGGGCATTGGAGAAGGGTCATCCCCAGGAGACATTTAACCCCCCAATTCCCCTCTCCCATCACAGTCCAGCTTGGACACTGGGAGAGCCCAGAGCTTCATCCCAGACTAGGACAGACATTACACCACAAGGAGATTTTACAAACAGCCCATCCGGGAACACCTGTGAGCATCTTTGCTCACAAATGGGCAAACCTGCTCCTGCAGCAATGTCCTGGCCATGTTTAAGCAGCTGATGGGACTTGGAGCGCTTTGAAAACCCAGCTTGGAAGCATGCAGCTCAGTGTAGCCACAGCGACCATGGGAGTGTTTCAGGACTTGGAATGCCAAAGTGACTGAAAGACTTCTTATTCACCTGCAGCTGTGATGTGAGTGCTGGCACCGCCCTGCTGTCCCTGTCCCCTGCAGCACATCCAGGCCCCTCTTCCAGCAAGTGCTCATTCGAGGTTAATAGAGCTGGAGAAATGGGCTGTCACCCAGCACTTAGTCCTGAAAGGCCCCATTTCTTCCTTAATTGCAACTCAAAATCAAATTAGCGGTTTTAAATTTACTCTATGCCCAAGAGGTACCATGAGCAGGGGGAGGACATGCCGTACCCTTCGTCCTTATGTAATGAAAAGGGTAAATTTCTGCTCTGAGGACAAAATTGCTGCCACCTCTGCCCTGGCTAGCCCATCACTTTGGTGTCTTTGGGGCCTCACGGGTGGAGATTCTCATCCTGGATTTGGGATGAGCCTTTGGGATGATGGAGTTGCTCATCCTGGATTTGGGGCTGCTCAGCTTCCCCAAGCAGACACATCATCAGTATCACTGAGGGGATGCTGTGGCTACCATGAGCCCCTGGCACTGCTGCCAGGGCTGCAGGTGCCTCCCACACCTCCAGAGGATGTGGGGATGTGGGTGCCAGCACAGGAAGCCAGGGGATGACATCGCCTGCATTAGTGATACCGTAATTCAGCACCCATGGACTGGGCTGTGGTCTTGTTTTCCAGGCACAGAAACCCCCCTCGGGGGGAGAACCGGCCAAGGACAAGGGCCCCACATCCACCCCGCACCCCCCAGCGGTAGGGGCTGTCCCCAGCACTCAGCTGTGAGCTGGGGACTGCAAGTGCTTTGGAAGCAGCTGCTCCACAGGGGCCCATAGCAGAGGGCAGAGACAGCCGCTGTTACCAGAGAAAGTAAATTCGGGGGCCAGCACCAAGCCAGTGGGGCTGTGCCTGCACAGGAAGCCTTGGTGTGCACACACACCACCCTCGGCATGCACACACGTGTGTACACACCAGCCTGTGTGCACAGCTCTCACCCCGGGGAACCGCATTGCCCTCAGAACATCCTCCTGGCCACTTCTGCTGCAAATTTCCACCTCTCCCAGCTGGAGAGTTGCCATCACAGGGACCACAGGGTTCCTTTGGTGCAGGCAGTGGGTGCTCCCCACTGATGCCATTTGCTGGCGGGTGTGTGCCAGGCCCCAGGACAGTCCTTGTGTGGAGAGGGACATGTGGCAGGGCCCATGGATGCATCTGCCTCAGCGGAGCAGGGCAGGGGGTGCCCAGTGCTGCCTGTGTCCCTGCCTGGCTCCGTCCACCAGTGGGTACCACCTGGGCCAGAGTGGCAAATCCTCCCTGCGGGGAGCAATGGGACATCCAACAGGCATTTAAGAGCTCTGGGTGTGGCCGGGGACCGCTTGTGCAGTTGGGCAGAGTACCCCAGGGTGCCCAGCCACGTGCGGTGGAACCAGGGACCTAAAAAGGAGGGGACACAAACACGTCAGAGCCAAGAGCCAGGGCAGTAGCGGAGGAGGTGTCAGCTGAAGGGAAAGTCCTGTTCTCTGGGAATCTCCCTCTCAATTTTCCCCACAAACCGAGTGGGCCCAGGGCGCAACATCCCGGCTGGCCTGCAGCCCCACTCCTGCCCACAGTGACATGTCCCCCAAGATGCTGGCTCGCCGTTCGTTCCAATATAATCTTTATTGGGGAGACTGACGGGGGTTAGAACAAGGCCGGGTATAAAACATGATCATTGTCACAACCAGCAGCGGGAGGCATTGGCAGAGCAACACAGAAACAGTATCAGCCCCTGTTCTCTGCCGGCAGCGGGGTGGTACCCAGGGCTGCACTGGCGGCATCCTTGCTCCTGGGGGCCAGTGGGGGGGATGGTTCAGCCCCTCTCCCTGGATGGATGCTGGGCTGCTCTTTCCTATGGGGTGTAGGGGCTCTGGGGGGGCCCCTCTGGCTCTCCCAGCCCCTGTGCCCTGGGACCGGGCAGCATGTGCCCCTGGTGCCACGGCCTTGCTGGGTTGTGGTGCTCAGCCCCAAAGGAGCACCTGCAAATTATGGCTTTTTCTTTATTTTTTTAGTGGTTTTTTTTTTGCTTTTTTGGCAGCAAACTTACCCCTCCAGGCACCCTGGAGAAAGCAAGCTTGTGCACAGGGAGCTGCCGCCCTGCCAGCCCCTCTGCACAGGGGTCAGAGCAGAGGTGCTGCTCCAGGGATGGGAACGTGGGCGGGAGCCAGGCCTCTGCCCCCCTGCCCAGCCAAATCCCCTCGCTGAAGCTGGCAATTTGGGGTACTGGACCCCGTGCCACCCCCAAGCCATCCCACGGGGCATTGGTGCAGGGTCCCGGGCGGAGCAGCAGAGAACGGGCACAGCTCAATGCCTTTGTGAACGCATAGCGGCCTAGGATGGGGCAGCTGGGGATGGACAGGGAAAAAACAAGAATCCTCCAAAACGAGGATAAAGTGGAGCTTTCCTCAAGGGCCTGCGGAGGAAACGGGCCGCGTGTCTGCTCGCAACCGAGGGGCCGGTGCGGCGGTTTGGCGTGGCTATAATGACTCGGGCGCACGGCGGCTTGGCCGCTGAGATGAAAGCTTTGGCAAATAACTTACAGAGAAGGGGAGGGTGCAGCTGGGGACCTGTCCTCGTCTCCCATGCCGGGCAGGTGACCCAGCATGGCACCGTGCACCTCCAGGGCTCCTTGTGCTGCCAGCAGTGGCTGCGGGGCGATGGGGAGGGTGTCGCTCTGGCTGGGACCCAGCGTCCACTCTTAGGAGCCACAGGGAGAGTGGAGGAAGCAGGTGCCCCAGGGAAGGAGCGTGGTGAGATGCTCGATGCACAGCGGGTGCACCCGCCGCAGGACTGGGGAGAGCTGTGCTGGTAGGTGTGCTCCCCATCCCAGGGTCCCTCTCCCCAGGCACCGCTGGGGTGTAGGGGGCTGCTGCCAGGTCCCAGCACCCCCCATCACCCCCTGCAAGTGCTGGTGGGGACACTGGTCCTACATCCTTGGCCACAGCGAGCATCAGAGCATCCCCGGGCTGTGCCATCGGCAAAGAAGGGCCTGGAGACCCGCCGCGGCGCTGCGCCGTCCTCTCCCACCCTGCTGCCAGGAGGTGCAGGCAGGGGCGCGGGGCTCACATGATGGTGCAGGAAGACAGCGGGTTTCGGATGTGGCAGGTGCAGGCAGCCCCGCAGTACTGGCGAAAGGTCTGGTAGCAGCTGCGGTCGGTGTCGCTGCTCCACTGGACGGGGTTGGCAGCCAGGGCCTCGGCCGGCAGTCTGTTGAGGATACTGGTGTTGACGGCCAGCGCCGCCAGCCCGTAGTCGGTGAAGAGGACGGTCTCCCGCTTGCAGGTGGGGCAGGAGATGAACTTGTACTTGGGGCAGGACTCGTAGAGGATCTGCAGGCACTCCTCGCACACCGAGTGCAGGCAGGAGAGGATGCGGGGCCGCTTGTTGGTGAAGTTGTACATGTGGCCGCAGGTGGGGCACTCGAGGGGCTCACAGGGTGTCGAGGGGTGCAGCACGTACTGGTTGACGATCACCTCGTCTGATGGTGGCTGCCGGTGGTAGCAGACCTCGGAGCTGCCCTTCCGCTGGCTCTGGTACCCGCGCTCTCGCCGCGGCAGGGGGGGAGTCCGGGGCAGCGGCAGGGGGCCGGGGGTGGCATCCAAGGCGGGGATGTCCCCGCACGCCTGGTTGACGATGATCTCGGACTCGGAGGGCCACGCACGCTTGGCCACGAGGGGTGGCTCACGGCGCGGGGCCGGCGCGTAGCGTGGCTGAGAGGCCTGCAGCTCCGAAAACTTCTCCGGGTGGATGATTTTCATCGCCTCCATTTTAATGATGACTTGTTGCCCTTTCAGACACGACATGAGTATTGTTTTCACATTACTGTCCACTGCTCTGGGGTCTCCGAGGGACGCCTGCATGA